CCTCACTCCCGACAGTGCCTCCTCACTGCCTTCCCTCTCGGTCTCCACCTTCCCCTCCCCTCCTCTCCTCTCTGGCTTCAAGGGCTCCTCCCTTCCTTTCTTCTCCGCCACCAGCGACACCTCTATTCCTTCCCACTCTGCCCCTGCCTTTTCCTCACTTCCTTTCTTCCAGGTGCCCAGTGACTCCTCTGCCTGTCTCCTCTCCATGTCCCAGGTTTCCTCGCCTCCCAACCTCCCCAGCCCCAGAGGACTCTCCTCTCCTCCCTCCTTCCCCAGTGCCCTCGGCCCTTCCAGCCCTTCGACCAGCAGTTCCTCCCAGTCCTCGCTGAGGGTCACTCTCTCCACCCAAATAAAGGATCCCTCCTCTCCTCCAGAGCCCCCCTGCCTGAAGCCATCAGGGCTGCCCCTGGGGGGCCCTTCCCCTTTTCCAGACGCTGCTCCCTCTGGTCCCTCCTGGAGCCTCGGGGAGCTGGTCTGCGCTGTCTGTGGGCCCCTGCCGGCCTCCCCTGAAGCCTCCGAGTCGCTGGCCTCGGTGCCTCCCACCCCTTCCCAGACCACCTCCACCACACCCCTGTCCTCCTTCACCCAGGACGGGAGCTCGGGACGGCTGGCTTCCAGCCTGTCCCCAATGGCCTCCAGCACCATCTCCTCTACCTTAGCCTCCAGCTCTGGGCCCGTGGCCCGCCTGGCACAGTCCTCTGTAGCCCTCAGCCCTTCCCATACCACCTGTACCACACCCCCATACGCTGCTGTCACCCCCTGATTGTGCTCCTGCTCCAGAGGGGGGCTGGGTCTGGGGCAGGGGCCATTGGCTTCTGAGGGGACCTCTGCTGCCCCAGGGACCTGCCTCAGGGCTGGCAGAACCCCAACAGCCTCATCTCTGGGCTCAGCCAGGGACTCCAGGGATGTGCCCACTGGTTCTGCTGGCAAGGAGGCTCTCTTGTTCAGATCAGTCTGACCTGGGGAAGTCAGGGGAAGGCAGAAGAGAGGGAAGGTGACGGGGTGAGATTCAGGTCACCCAGATGCAGGTCCCTCCTCTTGGGACCCCCCAGACCTAGGGGCAAAAATACCCACCTTCAGTACCTGCCTCCACAGTGGGCTGGGAGAGTGGACGAGGACCCTGCAGGAATCACAGAGACAAGGTCAGGCCGGCCCATGTCTTCACTTCTGGCCTCCTGCATGCCAGTACCCCTCCCCTGCTCAAACGCCCTCAGTGGCTCCCCATTACCTTCAGTACCAAACTGTCTACTGCATCTCAGCCTTCCTCATCCATCTTATTGCCCTCTGCTCCAGTGCCTGGTGCACAGTAGGTGCTTAATACTGTGTCATGCAGCTAATGTTCTATATTGGGCATCTACTGTATTGACAGCTACTGAGATTGCCGTAAGGGACACGTAAGCCTTTTGCTATTAGAACATACATTCCAAACATGTTTGGAGGGCAGCCCACTGTGCTGGGACCCTGGAGGGCTGAGTCCCTCCCTGAATCTGCCCCTCTCTTGCTATGTAACCTTGGAAGAGACGCTGTCACCTCTGGGCCTCTGTTTTCCTGTCTGTAAAATGAGGCACTTGAGCAAGAGATGATGGGCACTTTGATGACCTTTCCTCTGGTTTCCAAGGCACCTGAGGGAGCCAATCATCTTCCAGAGGCTTTGGCTGCTGGCGACAAATTTCCAGCTGCCCACATGGCCCTGCCCCAGCATGCTGTTCCTTCACTGTGTGGCCCGGAGCAGTCTGGCTTGCCAGTGATGTCACTGTTGGCGAGACAGTGACTTCAAGAGACAAAAATAATACATTCCAGCCTGGCCAGCGCAGCTCAGTGGTTGAGCATTGACCTATGAACCAGAAGGTCACGGCTCGATTCCTGATCAGGGCACATGCCTGGATTGCAGGCTGAATCCCCAGTGGAGGCATGCATAAGGCAGCTAATCAATGATTCTCTCCCATCTTTGATGTTTCTATCTCTATTTCCCTCTCCCTTCCTCTCTGAAATCAATAAAAATACATTCCCATGGGAGTAGGCAGGTCATAAATACAAATAAATAAACATATAATGCCAGGGAGTGAGGACTTTGGCAGGAAAAAGAAAAGCAGGATGAGAGGTTAAGGAGTCCCTGGGAGGTGATGGGGTGCCTCCTTTACTGTAGGTATAAGATGCAGGAGGGCTTCTGGGAAGACATGACATTAAACAGAAACTTGAAAGATGAGAAGAGCCAGCCTTGAGTCAAGAGGTGGGGAAGGGCATTCCAGGCAGAGGGAACAGCGAAGGCCCTGATGCTGCAATAAGCGAGGCAAGTTCAAGGAACAGAAAAGAGGGTCAGTATGGCTGGAATGGAGTGACGAAGGAAGAGACAGGAAGATGGGCTCAGGGAGGGGAGCTGGGGACAGCATACAGAAAGCCTAGGCCAAGCTCCGTGGATCTCCTCACAGTGCTCTGATCCTAATCTCTTTCCAGCCTCCATGCCTTTACAGCGTCTGTCCTCTGCCTGGAATTCCCTTCC